TAATAAAATTTCTTCTTTTACGGAATCGTATAATGAGTGGAATGATTGTATAAGTCTGACATTTTCAGCGGATTGAGTTAATAAAAGAAATCATCATTGTCTGCATATCAATCATTTCTAGAGATATTGATTTCAGATTTGATGATTGTTCGACACTATTATTTTAATATTGGGTAGGTATATTTAACAGTAATCGAGGGATGCATTGTCGTCATACCGTGCTTTTCTCTTAAATTATCAATACGATTAATAAAACGAACTTTAACATATATTTACTATCCTTGGGAGGAAATCAGACGCAAAAAATGAGCAATAACTGTTGCACTCCATTCCGACAGAAATATATAGTCTATTTCGGTTTTTAAACGTAGACGCGATAACTTTAAGTTAAGAGATAGCCATGTTGCAATTACAGTTTGAATTCACTAATTAGTAGTACTAATGGCGCTTCCGTGCGAAAGGCTAAAATTCAGTTTGAAAAATTGCAACATCTCTTATGCCTCTGCACCGGTTTAAGCGGTATTTAATCATCAACACTGACTGTTCTGAAATCAATGATTCAGAAGGACCAGAATAACAACACAGAAGTGAAGTTCGGGGGATTTTTACAGTTGCCACACCGAATTTGACACTTGTTGTGAGTATTAAAATCTTGTGACCTACACTTATAACATAACTATGAATTTATTATTTAACTTATATTATATGCCACATGGTCCCGCAACACTATTTACACATGGTCATAGGACATTTTTAATATAACAAAAATCAGTTCAACAAATATTTCAGATATTTATGTAATTTTGAATTGCCAAAAATCATTTTTTATAAGTCATTACATATTGCAATATTTAGATCAAAGGTCCATGTCATTTTATGGAAAAGGAAGCATTCATATATCAACTTAAAGGTAATATTAATGCGCAATATTTAATAGTTTTATCTTTAAATTTACAATCAATTTGAATATAGTTGTATTTGAAAGGTTAACATCCCGATCTAAATAAGACAGACATTGCTATAATGAACTTTTTCAAAATCTGGGAAACGTGATCCCTCGGAATCATTAACCCGAACAAAATTACATGAAAATTACAGACTCTGACTGAATACTTGCAAAAATCCTGATTGGTGCTGGGTCAACGTTAAATACCTGAAAATATGTTGCCTGTCACATCTGTTGCCTATAACTCTGTTGTGCAAAAGATAAAATTCCTTTGCAACAGGTGTTTACAAAATACGATAGACATGTTACTAATACCTTAAACATTTTTTCACAAACCTGTATACCATTCTGTCTCCATTTAAGCATCTAATGAGTGTACTTGAAATCTCGAATTATAAATGTTGTGTTTTAAAACAGTCAAGGGTGAAAATCAATAAGGATGAGATTTTAGCTTAATTTTCATACGCTGTATATGTTATAAATTTTATAATTGACATTTTCTGAGAAATATTTCTGGATATTTTATACAACATAAGAATACGTTTCATAATCTAGAGATGTAAATTTCTTCTGTCCAAAACATGTATCAAACTAAATTACCCTTTACGAAATAAACATAAAACACTTTTAATTTGGCTGAACTTTGTTTAAGAGCATAGTTTGAAAACATTGTTGTAATTATATATATCCATTTATTTACTTTTATATTCCAAGAGGATATATGGCTTAAATGTCGTGCTTTAAGGAAGTGTCAAATTAATGAAAAGGCAAACAAAATATTCATAAATTCGTATTTAAAATGCCCCAAGAACTCAATTAGGCAAATATTAATTAGGTAAAAAGTTATGAAACATGTCTCTACCCATGGGATACAGATATTATTTCGGTCATTTAAGCTCGAAAATAATTTTATATTGTACTTTAAGTTATAATTCTGTTGAACGAGGATATTTTACCTTACACCTTAGTTTTTATTAATCGTAAATATATCATCATTAAAATTTATATCAACGTGCGCATGCGTGAAATGGTTTTTCCGGGAAGTTTGTAAAAACTGTGGCCAGGCATGCAAATTATGTCGAAATGAAAAATAAGTAATTTGTTATTATGATGAAAAGATGATGAAATGGAATAACATAGGAATGATATGGGATAATGGATTGTATATACTGTAGAGAAACATAGATAACAGACAAATACACAAGATATATATATACAGATACAAGGACAAAAAGATACATAAAAACGATATTCGTAACTAATAACGAAACACGAATATCGACCACATGAAAATAATATGTTTATCAAGATACGATAAGTCGGAACATATATTTGAAGTACATAAAGCCATCGTCTGTTGATTGTAAAATGTTTGATATTTTGATTGAAATGAAAGAAACGTGTTAGTATACTTTATTGAAGGCAAGTACGGCATGCGTGAAACCGTCACTAAACCTACTAAAACAGTAGCTGAATATATTTTGTTCCGGAACATTTTATTCTGTTCACGTAAAACGTTAATTTACATTTAATTACCTTGAAAATGTACGAGTGTATATACTCCTTGTTGCTTAGGTATTTTCTTTACAGGTTGAGACATCAGAATTGTAGCCACAGCTTATCTCTGCGTGTTCGTAAGAGGCGACTAAATGGGTTTGAATTACAGGAGTCTTTGCATCTCTTAGCTCCAGCAAGTAATATGGCTTTGACACTTGGTTTTTCTAATTTGTAAACACCTTAGGTTAGCCAAAACCATCTCTCCTGTTTCGGCGCCATACTACCTAAATTGTTTTGGTGTGCCGCAAAACTAAACAAGGCAAAACAAACATATGCAACAGATTTGTTAAGAAATGACCATTAGGTTATGACAACAAACAATATATTTCTTCTGTTTTTAATTTGATATAAAATATTTCATCAGATACAGTTAACTTAGCTTATGGACCAAATCATTTGTAAATGCAATAATAGCATTGATTTCCATTTATTTAATCCTCTGAAACGACTAATGATCGATTCAAAGTCTATTGTCGGAGTTAACTAAACAGTGAAATGTATTACACCTTTTACAAGAACATCTATAGCATTTAAGAGGATATCAATAATATAAAGATAGATAAAAAATTATTGAAAATTATAATACATGTAATTACAATCTTTGTGTTTTCCTAAGATCGTTGTCACACTATCTTCAATGTGACATTTGCGTGCCATATCTTATAAATAGTAACAACTAAAACCCTTCTAATCAGTTATTCATCTTTTATTACAAGCCACGTGATACAACAAAGTAGGAAAAAAATGTGTGGGATAAAAAACATTTGACCGTTCAAAGCTCTTTGTAATTATGAAAGTTCTTGTTAAGTAGATCCATATATTAAACACCTTCCAGTGTAATTATTATTTGCCGACAGCAAATCTGTAATTGTTAGGAAATAACAATTAGTTAAACATAATTCCGAAAAAGAAATAAGTAATTAGATATAACAAAATGGAAAATATGACATTTTAAAGGATTACACCCACTGGTTAGGTCACGTGTCGAATATCGTTTAATGTATCATTTTGTCCTCGTATTTGTACGAGTATATCTTGTGTAATTGTTTCGTTATTTGTGTGTAATGTTTCTTTACAATCCGATATACAAACCACTATCTTATATCATTCCCATTTCATCACCTATTCATTATTTATATTTCATTTAAACATAACTTGCATGCCGGGCCTCAGTGTTTACAAACTATCCGGAAAAAAGCATCTTAATAATATAAATAAATAAATTTCTTTGGATTATGCCAAAAATTGACCCTTTTTATCTATTTAAATTATCAAGGAGCGTGTTTATGACCTTTACATGCATAGTTATTATGAAACTAAGTCATAGAAACGGGGGATCAATTTTCAACTGTGACATTATTTTCATTATAACAAAGAAATTCATCAGTTTATAATGTATGATCTCATAACAGCTGTATGGCTGCTGTAAAGAGACCTTCCAATATTTCCCTTCAGTTTTATTGTTTTTCCTGGTTTTTTAATCATTGGATACTTTTATATCGAGAATATGAGTATTTCATTACAACGGTCTTAATGTGAAAGATATGTTTTCAAAGGTCTTATGTCATAAAGCAAACACTATAGGGCACATTTAACATGTTGTCGTCTATTGATTTGTTTCATTTCTAATGAAATAAGCAAATGAAACCTTAGATGTCGTCCAACACGGTACAGTTGAAAATGTTGCAGGTTAAGTTTTATTAAGATAGAGAAAAACAGAATCCCTAAAGAAAGCCCAAACACTTCAAAATTGAAAATTTGCAGGCTCGGTTTGATTGAGCCTGTTCATGGACGGTACCGGAAAGTGAAAGTTACCGTCCACGCCCCTAGTACTTGCTTAAGCAGAATTCAACATTTAAACACGAAAATGGTGAAATTTTGAATTGAGAAGCATCCGTAGATGTGTTCATACGGCGGTTATAATGGAACCTTCAATGTTAAGCCTGTCGGAGCGTCCATGGCCGAGTGGTTTAGTATATTGACTTTAAACCACCACCACCTCACCTAGTCCAGACAGGAACTTTAGATTATTTTTCAGGAAGCTATCTAGGCTGCTTATGGAGAGCCTGTGGTTCTACTCAGGTACCGTTCGTCACTGAAATAAAGTACGGAAGGGTAACTGAGGTATTCTTCCACCAGTAAAGCTGGAAAGTCGTCATATGACCTATACTGTTTTGGAACGACTTAAAACCCAAACCCCCAAAATTAAGCCTGTTTATTGATAGTTAAATGTAAGCTGCCATTGAATCCCTCTAGCACCGGCTTAAGAAAAACTCAGCATTGAAACATTATAATGGACTTTAAAAAAGTATTTAGAAACATCCGCACATTATGTTCATGCGGCAGTGGTCATGGAACTTTTAATATGACACTTTCTTTTCATTCCATGATAATTGGCGAATGGTCCCCAAAGTAAAAAAAAATAAAAAGAATTCAATCGAAAATGAAAAGGCAATTTGTAGGAAATTAAATATAAAGTATGACATAATAACAAAAACTATTTTCATAAATTTATTTCGAGATTTGTAAAAAAAGAAAGGAAAAAAACAAACACAGATATAACAATTACGGTTACATTAAAATCATACATCATCATGAATCAATCATATATAAAAACATGTGTTTTTGGTCTTCGCAGTACGTCACACCGACACTAATAAGGTCATGCAACAAGCTTTAGGCTTTTCAGCTTTAGTGAGGAGGTAGACCTCAGGTGCTTCTTCAACGGTAAGCTAGCTGAGAATCTTAAAATATAAAAAACAGAATCCGTAAAGAACGCCGAAAACGACAAAAATATCAAATGTTGCAGGCTAGGTTTGGTTGAGCTTTTTTCATGTACGTTACTTCAAAGTGCATGCTCCCGTCCACGCCCCCTAGCACCGGCTTAAGCAGAATTCAACATTTAAACATGCAATGGTAAAATTTTGAATTTAAAAATTTAGAAATTTAGGAATATTTGCTTTGAAAGAAATTTGGTATAGTAATTCAACATTTAAACATGAAAATGGTGAAATTTTGAATTTAGAAACATCCGCAGATGTGTTCATGAAAATTGCAGAGTCTGTACATGAGGGATAATGAAAAGGTGCAAGACCATGGTCGTAAAAACAAGTTGCTGTAATACATGATTTTGTTCAAAAAATGAAAAATAAAAATTGCCGGCTACTCTAAATATATATGATCATTAATAAAAAGAAAAACATGAATATTATCGACATTTTGTCAATGTAATTTTTACAGTTTCAAGAGAGACTTGGTAACTAAATACTTAACATTAAAAAGGGAATGTCAATAAATCACAACCGATTGAAGTTATATACATAATCAATACATGAAATCAATGCTGAGATTGAAAAAATGTTACATGTTTATAAAGCACAGTATTATAACAAATCACATAGCAGTGAGTGTGACTGTGATAGAATGTGCGTCAAAATGCACCCGTATCTTGGATAAATCATATGCCAGATGGAATGGTGACAAGGGTCTATTTCATGCCCTATTCTATACTGTTTATCTCTTTCTAGAACTAAACAGTTATACTGAGTCAACAATATGTACAATCGTATACAAAAAAAAGTTCATAACATATCAATAAATAATCTCAGATTTATTTACAGATTCCAGTATATTAATAGAATTGATCACTTGAGATCGATAGTTTCATTCGGCGTCATCACTTTATAATTTAACACCAGTCAATTCCTGTAAACAAGTCCGTGCAACATCGAACGGCAACCAGATTAAATTCTCGTCAAAGACGTCCCAATGAATTTCATTTATTCTGAAACGTGGACTTAATATTCACGTTCACTAAATGTCTGATTGTATGTGAAATGTTTGGACTTTTCTACAATATTCAAATCTGTGTCCCGTTCAGCATCCGTTCTCCACTCGAGATACTGTTTTGACGCAAGAGTGATGTGATTTCTTTCCGTACTTTGAAGTATTGCACAGTCAAAATGAGTGTTACAACCGATAGCCCTATGCACACGGACGCTAAAATCCATGTGTTTTTACCATTTACATGGGAATATGTTGTTTTATGAGTCAAATTATTTTCTTTGGAATATCTGTTAGAGTACATGTCTGACACTTCTTGATTCCAAAAAGTCATTTTTGATTGTCTTAGATTTGTCATAAATGACACAGCAGGTTCTCTTTGGGAGGAAAATATTTTTGTGTACGATTTTCGACGGGGATTGAAAAGAGGTAGATCTATTTCGTTGAGTGGATGTAGTGATGGTATACTGAAATAAATAATATTAATTCCAATTATGAAACTTATTGTATTTAATAAATAAATTGAAAACGTCAAACAACACTGTAATATGTTTCTTTGTAATTAAAATTAAGATACATGCGTGTTAACTCCTAATACGACCGCTCTGGTGAATCTCTTTAAAGACTGCTTTAATGTGTTTTATCACGTGACGTCATTGTTACATGACGTCACTTGTTTTATATTAAATTTTCTGGTTTTTTTTTAAATACACACCTCCTGTTTTTTTATTTATATTAATTTTGTTGTTCGCTTACCTTGAAAAAATACGAAAAGAAATAAAGTATCAATATTTTATGCCAAATCCTATTTGTAATTTTGTTCATGCACACACACAGAATTTGTCCTTTTTGTGACAAAAATTAAACTGGCAAGGAAAAATATAATTTTTATAATAATTTTCACATGTTCGTTTTTGACCAATCTTTTAAAAGATGAAAATAAAATTTTCTTTTAATTTACAATTCATTACAAAAATATTATACTATATATTAATAGATACAAATGTTAAAATTTACCCATGTTTTATGAAATTTGACCAGATATGTATTAACATATTTGCCATTTCCTTGTCTACATGATCATATCGAAAGTTTTTATGCCCTGTAAATGGACAACCGGAGAGGTAAAACAGCTCAGCTCCATGTATGACACCTGAAATATCAAAATATTTATTTTGAATTCATAATTTATCAATATGTAAAAATGTATAACAATTACATTCATATTATCACTTACAATGTATATTACTTCCTAAGATTACACATATAATTTTTTAACAATAGAAATATTTAGATAATAATAAATTTAGATAATGATAATGTTTTGTTTAATGTAACATATGTTATTCTTTGTTTTTACATTTAAAAAGGGACTGTAGACATTACCAGTAGTTTCAAATATCAAATTTGAGCGAGTATAATAAACCTTTAAATATAGAGATAAGCTTTGTTTTGTCATAAACCTTTGTCATCATACGGTATATTAAATCATACTTTACTGTCGTCTGCATCTAACTGAAAACATTATTAATGATATCGCAATAGAATTTACTCTGATTTATAAATGATTTTATTCTAAAATGGTTAGTGTAGTGTTTGTAAAAAAAATCATGAATAGATCTATGTGCCACACAAAATCTCAATGACATGTAACGAACAGTGATGTTCAAAACATTTGAAAAAACCGTGCGAACATCACAAAAAGCAGACATTTCAAAATCAAGCCAAATATGGTCACAGCAACGGTTGAAAGTTGTGGACGGAAAATAAAACAACAGGGGAGACACAAATGGTGTTAAGGGAACATGCCAATAAATACAAGCGAACAAGACCCAAATTCTATTTACAAATTTATGACTTCAGAAATGAATTGAGTTATAATTAATAAATTCACATACCGTCCCATTGATCTAAAAGAGACTTGTACTCGTAATTATACAGGTAAACAGAAACATTTCGTCGTGATAGACTGTCAGCAAATCGATGAGTGGGTGCCGTAATGAAGTAATCACCTACAATCTGAAACAAGAAATTTCATCAAAATAAGATAACAAACATTCATTCTAAGACTAAACAGATGGTCACAGCAATATTGTTTTGTTCTATAATGGAAGAAATGTGTACTACTGTCACTACGAAAACTGCAAACTCAGTTTGATTGTGTCAGATCATGAGAAACAAATGAGTACAACCAACTATATCTGATCTTTTAGTACTAAATTACCGTATTATATATCGCTTTTGTTGCATGCATATTTAGCATATAAAATGTTCAGATTTGACTTTTTATGTTTTAACGTTGCTAAATTAGGTTTGATTAATGCTTATAGGTTTGATGATGAAGCCATCAAAGTGTCAGTTTGTTAACGCCAACGTGCATTATATGTTGACAAACAGCCAGCGATATGACATTTAAAAACACTATGTTCACTTTTCCGATTTGTGAGACATTACCTAGAGAGGAATTAGTTTCTGCAATTTATTAGATTTATCTCCGTCTGTGTTAACTAGTGAAGCGCCATAAATGTACTTAAGAAAATTCTCTGTCAAACCGTGTTAATATGATGATAATTGACAGCACTCATAATTATCTCCATCCATTAGAAGTAATTAGGGTAGATACGGAAATTAAAGTAAAACTACGACATCTACTACAAGACGATACCGCTAGAAGGATTCTTGATTTATATCTTGAATTTCTCCCACGGAGAGGGCTAGCTAATCAGTTTTGTAAATTCAAATATCAAATATTTCTATACGTTTTCTTTTCTTTTTACTCAAACATTCGATATTCTTTATTCTATTTCTTGTTTGTTGTCTAACATTTGGGTGTGGATTTTTTTTTAATTTTTGAAGCATGTTAGTCCAAAAATCAAATAAGTTATTGATGTTTCGTGCAAATGCATCAATAATATCTTATCTTCGTGGTATTTTATGAAAGTATGCCTAACACAATCTATGAGATATCAAATGTTCTGTTATTGTTTCTATTCAAATTTTGATAATAAAATTCAAATACATATGAATATTGCCATAAATTCTAAATTTGACAATTTGGATCTTATTTTGCTGATACTGAGAAAAAAATGAATAATAATGTAAAACTAGATACCTGTTATGTAACAAAAAGGAAAATTTTCTAAATACCTCTGAGAAACTCCTCTCTATTTCTTGTTCAGAGATGTCCGACGATTCAAACTTGACATACTTTTCTAATACTGAATCTGAGGATATACAAAATAATGTATACCTTACAGCTGATCATTAACAAAAATATGAAAATGCATTTGACAAACTATAATTGAGAGTTATTCTATTTTATAAAATAGTTAAATCATTCTAAACAATTGAACAACAAATTAATTTCATATCAAGACTCTCTTTTACTGGTATTGCCATATGACCTCTTGAGGCATGATATCTGGTGACGCAAAAATCTGGTGACGCAATCAGAGCAGTAAATAGACCATAATTTTGACGAGCACTTTTTGAACAACCCAGCTCGTAGTAAATCTCGATAGTAAAAAAGAAGTCGTAGTAGAGTCCTTAAAGCTATCAGACGATGGTTGTAGATAATGTTGATGATAAGACGTTAAATGAGAACAAAATTACACCCTAAGTGTCGTCTGCTAATACAGAAAATTTAAAGATGAACGCTGATAATTTGAACTCATTTTCTATATGACCTAGTTCTTAGACTACGATATTGTTTGTTTTAAAGAAAAGCACTAAATAACTCAAAGAGGTTCTTAAACAAAGTTGTTGATTTGAACAGTTGATGCATAAAACAATGTTATACGTTTATTGATTACAATATCTCGTACATTATCCACTGATTGTTGGTTTTGCGAGGAATGTTCTTAGACTTTTCAGGGCGAAAATTAGCAAATAACCATTCTTTCTTGGACGCTCATACAACGTAGTTTATCAAAAAAAGGTTGATCAGTTAAATAACAATTTTGCCGTCAAGTTATCATTTAATGGCAAAGATATTGATAAGTAATTTACCATTATATTTTGTAAAGTTGATCATAGAATTATTGAAAAGTATTTTATTATAAATGTATAGCTGTCAGTATGAAAACAGTTGGAGGTACCCTGCTTTTAAATGATTCAATTCATAAATTATTTTGTTGATCATAAAAGACAATGGTGGAAATCAACATTAAAACATTCTTTTTTCAGCAAAGTGTACTTCTCCTTAAAAGGCTAATATCTCAATAGTAGTGTATACGCATCATAGGTTATAAGATGACATCGATATACAGTGTCAAAACAGTAAACTTGAAAGCACTGAAGAAACATTCTTCGATTATTCAATTGACTTACATACAATATCGGGTATTTCCGGTAGTTCACCTCTAAAGCAGCTCATTAAGGTAAGCAACTTCCGGAAACCGGTTGTTCCAACGCCGTATAATTTTATTAGAGGTATTGCTGAAAAATATAAAAGAAAATGTCAAAGAAAATCTGGAATAGCCCTCGTGTATTGTCCTTTACTAACCAGTCCAACAAAATATTGCTGATTCTCACAACAAGACTCTACCAGACTCTACCAGATCTACACGCTCAACAAGATAACGTTGGTGTTCATGGGTCTCAAAATAAATGACACCTGAGCTCAAATACCTCTATTTAAGTATAGACCTTTTGACAGTTTTTGTCAAGTGAGGATACATGTTAAGAGATATCCTGTCGATACGACACAAAACAAGCGTATAACAATAACTAGTGTGTTGATTAAAACAATCTATAGTGGAACCACTAGAATGAAGGTTACAGATTCTATAATTGTAGTTTGGGATACACTCTATGTAATATATTTAATTTTGTAGGATATTGAAGAAAGGGACATTACAGATATATTTGAATTTGATGTAGCTTGATGTAGCGTTCGTTCAGTCAAGCACAATTTTGGGGTATTTTAGCAAAACTCAAAAATGGTCTGAGTCTGTAATATCGTGTATAAAGTACATTTATGTCTTTTTCTTCTTTTATCTTATAATGAAAAAAATAGATTTAAAAGGCAAGTAATTAAAACGACGAATTTAGTCTATAAGAGAAACAATTAAAACGAAAAATAATGTTAAAAATAATACTTGTTGAATAGAGATAAGTTCTTGAGTTGAGCTCGCTATGTATTCTCCAGTAAACATACAAATGTACAATATGAGAGGTCCCGTGTACCTTTACTTTGTAGCATGGCTTATATAATTTCATTTATGACATTTATTGATAAATTCCAAATATTTCAACAAATAGATTATTTCAAATATTAGTTATGAAACTACTTATAATAACGAGTGAAAAAGATAATGGATGGACTCCAATAATAATCAGAAATCGCGTGTTTGCTTGACATTTATTTTGGAAACGTAATAACAAACTTTAATCTTTTTTAATTAAAGATTAAGTGCATACAAGTCATATATTAATGAACATAGCTGTAAAGAATTCTCATAAATACAAATAGCATTTAATGGTTTAACGCTATTTTTGAGGTATGGTGACATAAATATCTCAAAGTCAGGTGCAATGAGGAAGTCTGACGCATTTATGTCTGTTTTGTCTTTTTTGTACAGTTCGTTTATAAACGATGTTAGTAAATTTTATTTATTACACGTTTTCAAATATGAACACGTCACGCAAACGTGTCGTAACCAGGAAATAAATAATTGTTAAAAGTTATTTTAGAAACTGGTGCTGCTGGAATAAACGGTTTGCGTTCATAAATTGTCGTGACGCGATGACGAAAATTACAAATGAGATAGTTTCATGAACTGTTAGTTTTAACTTAATATTTTTCTTTCAATAAGCTTTATAGTCTTCATTAAATGTTTTTATTAGTTTTAAATTTAATGTTGCACCAACTCCGTCAAAGTCATAATTTTGCGACTTTCCAGTTTAACTGATGGACTGATGGAGAAAGACCTCGTGTGTCCCTCTATGCGTACAGCCACCGTCGTTTAACTGGACGGCATCCTCTCATAAAAGAATTCAAAGTTTCTGGCGGAATTTGAACCAACTGCGTCGAGAGACAAGTGGTTTGAATTAGCGATCTTAACTTATCTTGGCATTTATTGCTGGATGAAAAAGAAAGGAATCAAATTCCATATTTTGTAAGAAGATACATGTACTTTGACACTTTCTTGTTGCTATCAGACGCAATCGTGGAACAAATTAAAAATTTTGTATGGCACAACAAATCGTGAAAATCTTTCGACATTACGTAAGATAATACAAAACATGGCATTCTTTTGCATTATTCTCCCTATGATATCTCGTAATGAAGCCATAAGTGAAACATACATTGGCTGTTTGCTTTCCCAGGACCCAGGCCTGACTAGCGTCCATTCATTTTCATATGTACAATTATACAAATCAAAGCATATGAAATATTCTTTTCGATTAACAAACATGTTTAAAGTAGCTACTTTTATGTCTTTGGCGTACAAAGGTGTTTTCAATTTTTAACAGGCACTTTCTAAATTAAAACATATAATCATAAACAATAAACAAGTCTATAAATAAAAAAACGCTATGAAAAAAAATCAGCCAAAATGTTGACACATGTGTTATGAGCAAACACACGAACACAAATCAAGAAATAAATAGAATAGGAATAAAACAGAATACCTAAAGAACGCACAAAACGGTAAAACTGAAAATGTTGCAGGTTCGGTTTGATTAGGCCTGTTCATGAACGGTACTGGAATGTGTAAGTTACCGTCCACTCCCCCTAGCACCGACTTAAGCAGAATTCAACTTTTAACATGAAAAAGCCAGTGCCTAAAATTATCGACGTATTCATAACATTCAGGTTGGAGATAAAGCCTTTAGAAACTAACTTCAGACTAAGAAATTTAATATAAAGTACTTTTTTCATTTAGTGATAAAAACTTAGCATACGAGAAAATAATATACATGAAAATAACGGTAAACTGATCATGGTGCACAAGCTATCACTTTTATGTAAAATGATGATAGACTATCGTTAAAGAATTATCATAGCAAATAAAAATAATCAAACATGTGTCAAAACCATCCGTTAATCGTGCAATCATTACAAATTACGTGCTATATAAGTACAAAAGCATATAAAGTAAACTTACGAGACAATGTATGCACGTCTTTAGAGAAGAAAATGATGGAAAGAATAACTACGTTTTCAGGATGTAGATCAGTTACAAAACATTAACAGAACAAAACACAGACCTATGAATTGAAAAAAAAGGTTAAATGAAATCTACATATTTTATACTAAGGATCAAAATTTACACTTCTATCGATTTGCTTAAGTCAACCCTTTTGCCAAATAGTTATATATGTATGAATACATATATAGTAACAAAAGTTTTCTTGTTTTAAATTTCTGTTGAAGTCTTGTTGGGGAGGATTAATTGGGTGCTATTTGCAGCTCTGTGTATTTTTTTTTTTTTGTATTTTTGGTTAAAATTTTGTTTGTTTTTTCAATTTATATATTTTTGGATCATGCCCTTATATTGCACCAATTTCATTAAGCAAAGTGCACAACATGTGAATGTCATATTCAACCAGGTATACATTAAAATGTTTGATTTTGACAAATTGTTTCAATTTATTTTTTTATAAACACTTTGTCATATATATATATATATAGTAATTAAATGTACCTGCAATAAGGCCTTCATCTTGTGTAGCCCCAGTCAGAAAATGGACAGCATTTAGTGGTTCTCTTTCCACCATAACTTCCGGAGTGTATGGCAAAAAGTACCCGTCAACTACCGGGCGATATTGTGGTGTCAATGATGTGGTCCACTGAGTGCAAAAGAAAAATAAAATACAAAAAAATGTATGATTTTAAGTGATAAAGAGTAATTGTTTCTATAACTAATTATAAAACATCTGTTGGTTTCATTATCATAACATCTCTAATAGCACACATAAACTTCATTTGTACAGTATTTTCTAACAACTTACGTTCCACATGCAATCATTCGCATTTAGAAAATACCACTTATTAAGGAATAAGATTGTTACAAAATTAATAAGATTACATAATACAAAAAATACATAAGCAGTATTTATTTCAATATCATTTGAAAAAATCTTTATATATATACAAATATACTTATAACTGGTTCTTACTTCAGATTCTTCAGTGATAACTCTTTGAAGAGTTTCGGTGTCAAGGTTCTTTATGCATTTCTTGACTTCTGCTGAATTATTACTGTAACATTTCACAGAAGACGAGAAGATTTTATACACAAAATTAGGTTTTGTCTCATATCTAGACACTGACCAGTGTGCCAGTGGTGAACCGCTTTGTTGTATAACTCTTTTGAACAAGCCTGAAACAAAACATGTGATTGTTAATATAATGTTCTTAAATAGCTTTACATAACATTGTTTCCAACGCCAAAATATAACATATATTTTTACTGATTTAAACAACAACATTATATTTGCTATAACAACTATTTTGGAAAATTATGCCGATCATTGATTTCTTTACCAATATTTAAAAAAAACTATCACTTGACAGCAAAAACATAGATTACAATAAAGAAAGCCACATATTCAGTTTGATGTAATTTGATCATGAGCTGTACAGTTGAGTGTAAAAAACATGTTTCATAACACCTGCTTAAAATATTCCAAGTCGTCATAAAAGAAGAGATTGGAATCAATGTTCAAAAAGAACCAAAAATAGAACATCACTAAGATGAAGTACATGGCAACATAAATTTTAATGGTTGCCACACAGCACCCCCATACAATTTCCAATGTTTTGAGTGCATACATTCATGAACAGAAAAGTATCTTGAGGGCAATGGAAACAGTGCAATATATGATAACTCTTAAAGTTGTGTAATAAAAACACGTTTTACTGCTTCGGTCGTACTGACATGTACGAAGACGAAGGATATAGCACTTCTTTTTAATGAGAACATTATTATTCACTTAGAATTCGTAATGAACATAAAACGTTTCATATGTGAAGTGTATGTATTATATGTGTAATCGTGTAACATTTTATTGTATGAGGTAATATTTAGTTCAAGGAGGAGCATGAGAAAAGAACAAATCGACCAAACATAATACTTATTTGTGCTGTTCTTGTTTTCGACAATTTCTTATCCACTCCGTGTGCTATACTTTAAAGTTTTTTATTTTGAGAATAGGAAATGAAATTAACCTTATTTAATTAATTTATATTGTTTTTTAACAATAAGGTGCACATAAATTTGAAAAATGTAAAACATATAATATGAGAGGAAAAATCGACAAGAGAGAGAGAGACGGAAAGAAAAAGTTACGGAATGCAGCCAATACCGCTACATTATCAAGCCAAAGTGGATCACAGGCTACAATTCGTAAATCATACAGGAAAAGTGGGGCTTAACACTAACCATACTTGAAAGGTTCTTTTTATTTCAAATTAAAAAATGGTTACCTGCCTTTAGCAAGAGGTGACATCAGCAGAAGTCCAACACTGCAACCACCAGCACTATGGCCGTCTATTGTGACACTGTTTGGATCACCATTGAAATTGGCAATATTGCCTTGTATCCATTGAAGGGCTGCGATCATATCTAACATCCCATAATTACCCCGTATAACACCGTCTGCAGAATTCATGAAACCTAAAAAATAGTGTAAACAACTACTCCATAGAAAGAACGAAGCATTTCATTTGCTGTGTAAACGCTCAACCGAAAAATCTGGTATTTATTTAAAAATTTAAATGAATTTTGTAAATGCCTATTTTGATATTTATTAAAAACTTTTACTTAAAAATTGTCTCCAAGGCAATTGAACGGCTGATACGGGGCAATTGCGCATTTTTCTTGTTGCTACTTTACATTTTTCCCCGAATGCAATAAGTTTTTAATCCCCTACAATAAGAGTCTACATAAATATGTTTTCATGTTTATCTTTCAGACATAATTCCGCCTTTTCACTTTTCTTCCAAATAGGCACCCCCTAAAGGAACTTAAGACAAACTATTGATACAAGAGCTCAATTTGTTTTACGAGGTTTCAAAAGCGACCATTTCATTTTTGCGAATGTTCATTAATCTCAAAGTTATGTATATCTAACGTGTGGGATTAGCATTATTTTATAAGAGCTAATCTTTTTTTATTTGCCGGTAATGTTCAGAAAATATAAAGTTAAGGAGTCATCATACAGTAAATTACCATTGAAAGAGCATTATGAATTAAATTGCAGCTGTTTAACTATATAAAACACAAGTATAACTATCATATACCATGCCTTTAAAATGGCTATAATAAAAATAGTACACATTTAACACAATTGCTCATGATAAATACAAATTAGTTTAATGGAAATCACGTAATCTTAAATAAATAGGACGTTTCAATTTTTACTAACAAAGCCATAATATCAAAATGTCTAGGCAAAATACGATTTCTTATTATAATTGAATAAGCAAAAAAACAGTTTGATCGTTTTAAAAAAATCATTCAATATGCTTTCAGAAGAGATTTTATAGATCTCCGTTTGAAAATGTATAGAAATTCGGAATGAATATTAAACATGATTATAAACAAAAACATTTTATAAAAATATCGCTAACCTAAAGGTCCCAATCTGTAATTGAATGTGACGACCACAATGCCATGGGTTGCTAGAACGCTTCCATCAAACATCGCACCCATGCCGTTCTGGTATGAGCCTCCATGGATGAACACAAGTACCGGCATCGATCGATGATGGTGAGAACCCTATAAATATTAATAGTACTTTATCATAACAAACATTTGCAATCAAATTATTTACATATACAAAAGAGCACAGTCCGGTTGTTGAATATATTATTTGGGCAACATCTTGCAAACTCTATAGCATTGTTTACAGTTATATTCAAAACTGATATAATACGTATAATGGATTTTATAGAATAAGGAAATTATTACAATTCTGAGAACTCTGTAATATAAAAGTAATGAAGTGTATAAAATCTGGTTGTTAAAATAATTCTCGATCATAGGGACTTTCGCACAAAACACATTATAAATTTACTTGTACTACTGCAAGGTGGCTGTAACGTTTCCTCAATCAGTTGGCCAGAACCTATTTAGTACATGTTAAATAGAAAGGGGCACAATGAACATAATTATATTTTTGTATTGAACTTACTCTTGGAACATATATATTCAGATAAAGACAATCCTCGCTTGTCTTATTGAATCCAGGAACATGGTATTCTATGTAAGCCACGCCTTCCGATGCTTGCGGACACGCTGGAGCTAAAACATTGGCGTTCCTAATAGAATCTCCCCACGATCTCGGTGGTACAGGCGCCTGTAATATATAAAACTGACACGTTGTAAAAGATATTTTTTCAAGATTAGAATGTTTGGACTTGAATTGAAAATAGCTGCTTTGTGTTTGGATTTTTAAACAAAAAGCTTCTTTCAAAACACTGTTTTTTATTCATGATTAATTAAGTACTTTAATAATGAACATATTCAACGCAATATGTAGACCAAAGTTATTTTCCATGCCTCACAGATATGCATTTTCTTGCATGTTTTATATGTTTTCAAACGTCTGTTTGCAAATTAATTCCAAGGAAAGAGACCATTTCTTAGCCTATGATATTTCAATGATATTCATCAACATTCATTTTCATAAAAAAAGAGAACTCTGGGTCCTATATACAGACAAACATCCGTCATATCAGGGTCACTAACTCTACATTTTTATAAAAGTCATATGAAAGGACATTTATACATGTATAGCTGATACGGCAATAGATTTTTAACTATTGAATTAAAAAAAATTAAGATTTAGCTTGTTTCTTTTCATTAAGTGATTTCAGACATATTTTTGAACGATACATAATGCGATTTTAGTTACAGATTTATTCATTATTCATATTTTATGAGTTTGCACTTAGATGCATACATCATAACTGTACAGATTAAGATAAAGTCGTTTTTAGTTTGTAAAATATGCGGGTGGCATAATTAGGCAGCTATTATAAATCGATCAAGAGTCGAATAAAATACATTAAACTTAATATCGTATTAATAAAAGGCAAACTAGAGACATCCGATAAGATCTGAAATAATCCGCTCTGTAATTTAAATATGCACAATACTTCTTTGAACGATGAAATCGCAACTTTAACTAAAACAGAAACAGTATTTATGATGGTACAAGAAATTGTCTAATCTCAACTTTAAATCAAAGGCGGTATAAAAACAACATATCAAGTAAAGTATGCATATAATGGGATTCGGTCATTAAAATAACATTAGAATAGCGTGTGGTGCAATTTAGTCAGATATGTTCTTGATTTGAGAGAGATACAAATAATGGTTGATTTATGATCTGATTTCTTACATAAATGTTTTGCTATTTTAAGGACATTTGTATCCCCTCTGTCTTTTTCGTCAAATCCTTTATTAGATGTATAAACGATACGAAGGTTCTTTGGTTTGTAAATCATAAGAATATCAGGAATGAGTAAAAAGGTAGAAAAAGAACACGAAGACTAGACTAAAGATTAACTTAAAGTAGAAAATAAGGTTACTTAGAATTTATTTCAAAATTAAAGAGAATGTTCATGCAATGACAACAGAATGAAAGTATAAAAACTTGAAGACATGGACTAATTTGCATGATAATGGTAGACAATAAATAGTGCACCATCTTTTGTGTTCCTGGCACCGAGTAAAGACCAAACAGTCAATCTTCAGAGTAAAAAACATAAAAAATAAATTCAATATTATTTATTTATTTTATTTATTTATTTATTCATTTATTTATATTGATGGGTGGTCATTTATCTGTTGTTGTTTTGGGTTATGTTGTTGTGGAATTTCTTATTGTTTGATTTTAATCAAAGATTGATTTGTTATTTGTTCTGTTTTATTTTTGGTGGAGGGGGGAGTTATTTATGTGTTGTTGTTTTTGGTTATGTTGTTGTTGATTTTTTTTATTGTTTGGTTTTAATCACATTGATTTGTAATTTTGTAGTTCTACTTTAATCATGGTGCTAGATTTAACCGGATCTGTTAATGTAAAAGAAATAATCAGATGAAGAACATTATTTTTTTACATATTCTACATAGAGGATGATCTTTATCTACGCACCTGTAAGCTATACATGTACTAAAAGTATTTAACAATGTGCAATAATTTGTAACAAAATGTTGTTTAAAATTTCAGATAATGTTAAGAAATCTCATTAAAACCTGTTATTATATGAAATCTCCTTCAAAGCTACTTCGTTATTCATGTTAACGATTAGAAAGATTTTTTTGCAACAGATATTAGCCTTCCTCTTTAACAGACGCTGTACAATCATATATGACGTCATGTTATAAAATACGTCTAAACATCATAAAAGAAATTCGATTGAACGTAAACATAATTAGGAGTAAGTATCAACATCTCTGAAAATTTTATTGAAACATTTGAATTTGGAATGTAATACAAAATTAATTAAAGTCATTTTTTTTTTACATTTTAAAGTCATATTGTTAGTGTATATTTTTCCTGCATATACGTTCAACAAACTAATATGTACTTATATACTTGGCATACTTGAAAGATAAACGCATTTAGTTACTAACAAGAACTCGGGTTAAACATGGCAACACAAGGGAATTTAAATTCGATGCATAATATATTGACATAAATTTAAAAGTAGTACAATTATATATAAATTCAAACTTTCACCATTTTCATATTGAATTCTGCTTAAGCCGGTGCTGGGGGGCGTGGGCGGAAGTTTGACATTTGACACTACCGTCCATGAGCAAGCGCAATCAAACCGAGCCTGCAGCATTTTCAATTTTGCCGTTTTGGATTCTTATATTTTCTATTTTAATGATTCGTGTCTTGTTAACTGGAATTCGGATCGGATCTTCTTCGAGCACGTAAGCGTAGTAAGTAGAACGAATGCGAATATTTCACTTAAATTGCTACGTTTTGAAAGAAAAAAGTGTGTGGTATTTGTGGTTACTTGTTGAATTTTTGAAATGGATTAATCCTCCTTTAAATTTGGAAAAGTCAGTTAAAGATTTATGAGAAATTAGTATCAAACTATAAAAGTTCAGACACCAACAGTGAGTGCAGATTGGCCTGGCTCTTTACTGGTGGCAGAGATTGAAAGATCCCTTGCGGTTCTTGAAGGTAAACCACATAATTAGTAGTTTTGTCACAACATTGATTAACCTCTTCCCCGATGCTGTGACCCACGTACGTTGAAGATTTATTTTGAACATCTGTCAAAATTTCAACGGGTATGACCCATCATCGAAAAATAAGATAAATATTTTCATAAAATTATTTTCCCAGCAGGATAATCTTGTAATTGAAATTATAGTCATTTTGTAATTTTATTCTGTTCACAGTGGTTGGCAAATGTAATTTTGGACTATTTCACATTTTTCGATTTAGACAGTCAGTGAAAACTCGTTTATATTGATGTAAAGCATGAAATTAACAAGATGTGTTTTTTATTATCATTATAACTTACATATTTCTTTTCTGAAACTATGTGCTCAAATTATTTTGCTCCCTCATTTTATTAGTTAGACACATTTTGCAGTATAAACATCAGACTGAAATAAGTACTTTTTGTTACGTTTTTAAAAAAGACTCAAAGATTGTCGTATAAAATGTAAGAAAGTTAATAGAAAGGGAAAGACAAAAATGATGAGCTTATATTTAAGCCTTTGTTTTTTTTTTTTTTTTTTTTTTTTTATATCATGATATAAAAGAGGTTAATTTCTATTAAATGTTTCAACAATCTACAGAATGCGTGTTGGCTCTACTGATGTAAGATATACTTGAAGCTGATGCATTAAAGTAAACATACTTATCAATTTATTCACTAAGTAATTAATAAAAACTATATTTATCAACTGTTTACACGTGTATGTTAACGCGCCATACATGCTTCTGAAAACCATGATGTGTGTGATAAGTAAGTTCTATATTCTTCCACAACATAAAACGCTTGAAAGATAAATAATAAAAAACTTGGTATTACTAGTAAATCCTCTAATACATTATATTCTATTGAAATGGTTCCAATAAAATTTTAATTCTAATGACTAAATGCCTCTCAAGCCGGTGCTGGGGGGAGAGATATTACACGATTCATTATCACTCCAAACAGGGTCGACTATATTGTCCATTGATTTTGTTTGCGTGATTTCGAAAGAAAACAACATTTCATACTGTTTTATACTGTTTTATAAACAATATGGCATATGTTTTTTTTAAAATATGTGTTTTTTAAAACGTGTATAAAATATTTGGACATTTTATTGTTGTTTATACAGGCAAACCGTAACTAAGATCAGTATAAAGCGATATCACCTGAAACGTTTGATATCCTTTTGTAAACTCAAAATTAGTGTTTCGGTATTAAAGAGAAAAATTATTATAAAAAATTTGAATGAAATATTTTTTTCAAACTGTTCAATACATAATTTAAAACTTAAATCAAGAAAACGGATTAACATTCGTCATTGGTAAAGCTGACCCAAATTCTAATGTACCTGTATCTATAACGAAACATATCGACTATTCACCGTCAGTTTCACTTAATATCGAACGGCAAATGAAATCTATTTTTTTCTCACAAGAGGATAACTTTGAGTGGGGGGTAAATATTTCAATCATTTTGACACTTATTGTCTCGCTTCATAACCATGTTCCCCCAAGAGAGTAATGTGGAAACATCTAAAGTCATTTCGACCAACGGAATTCAATTCTGCTCGTTTTAAAAATGTCATCATTTAATTTCTTAATCTAATTGTATTGTTAAATTTTTAATACACTCCACCAACCCGCCGCATCTCTCAATTGAAAAGTATTGTGTTACGAAATAATTACAAAATAAAACTGATTTTTGACATCAATTTAAAATCGATCTAATTACTTTTTAAGATATAAAGCCTACTTTATATAAAAAGTAAAATAAACATTAAAGGCTATTAAAAGATTTCGTTTCAACATACAAATTCAAAATATTCGTGATGTATGTTAATGTATAGATATTTTTTCGATTTCTTTTAATATATAGCTCCCTTGACAAAATTGACATCATTTTGAGGACATAAATGAATAAACTTTAACTCCACTCATGTAAACGGAATTAGGTAAGATATCTCTTCCTCGTGAAAACGTGCAAATTTCTGTCACAATACTCCTTATCAACAAAGATAAAATATGTAAACATAAGTTTGTTCAAATTTTTAACAATATATATATTCAGTATTAAACCAAATTTCTTTAAAAGCAAATAATCCTAAATTTCTAAATTTTTAAATTCAAAA